CGATGGAAAGACTGGTTCTCTCGCTATAAATTCACCGTTCATCATCTCAAAGGACACCAGAACATCATAGCAGATTTCCTCACAAGACCTCAGAAAGTTTCCCAGCCTCCAAAACTCCTGTCACTCTCCAGACCTCAACCCCTTTTCATCCTAACCATCTCTGAACCAGAAATGCCTCACAGAATGAGAGCCACCATTTTCCCTCCTGGATCCCGTCCTGAATCTCCAGCAGATGTCCAAAACCTTGCCAGAAGTACTATGTTCTACTGGCTCCACCGTGTTTTTGTAGATACTGGAATCCATCCTTATCCTCAGCACTTTGATGCCGATGCTCCTTATCTCACTGTTCCCATCATTAAAGGACCCATACCAGAAGAACTTTTATGGTACATCTGGTCTGTTTCAGCCAATTATACCTGTGCCATAGCCTTCTCAGCTGTAGTCGTCCATGATCACCTGAATGACATCAGGAATGAAAATTCTCCTCTTACCACACTCTTTGAGATGATTGCTCCTCTTCCCTACTGGAGAGGAAAACTCTGGAAAATTCTCAAAGAACATAATATTTGGGACTTACCAACTCCCAAACAAAAAAGATTCTTCTGTCTGTATACCTTTTTCAGGAACTATGGTATAAGTGCTGACCAGAGGCTCTACATAGACAATCGTCTGATCCTTCAAGTCACCACCCCCTCATGGCCAAGAAGGGAAGCGTTGCTAATGGAAAAAATTGGGAAGACATTAACTGCACTTAACCAACCTGACACAGGAGAAGACACTTCATGTCTTTCTCTCGGACCTTTCCCTCCAAATTCACCGTCTGCCAGCAACACAACACTTGAAGAATTCCAGAGAGATTTCATCCTGAGTGCTGTCAGGCCTCCACCAAATAGGTCACAAGTCCCTCCTCCGACAGAAGCCTCTGAAGACCCTCATGAAGAAGACTCTCAGATCCAACTCACTCAGCCTGAAAGACTCTATCTCCCTCAGCCAAGTTTCCAGCCACAACTCCCATTCCTTGCAGGGGAATCCCAGGATCCTAACCAAGAAGACCCTGATCCGGAGCTCGAAGACTATTACTACTCAAGGAGCTCAAGGAGACACTATGACTCAGATGACCCTGACCCAGAAGGCATCATGAACCTATCCCCTAGCCATGAGCCTATCTATAAAGACTAGGGGGCATCATCATCAGGAAATCTCCTTTAGATACTTTGAAGATAGGGTGGGACCCGTCAGATTCCCACTTTATGTCGTCGTCTACTTTTACTTTATTAAAGTACCTTTAGAAAAGTAGCTTTAATAAAGTAGCTTTGTAAAAGTAGCTTTATTAAAGTAGTTTGTCCTGTAGTCTATTTCGTCCTCTTGTAATCATTAAAGTAAATGTCATCATTAGAATAGGTCATAATGGCGTCTACCCGTCATCATGACATGTACTATTAGGTCTTTGTCATGTAGTGACCCCGAACCCCTATATAAACCCCCACTCTGCCTTCAGTTAGGGGCAGAAGGAGTTGTATCGACTTCCTTGTATAATACTAGTGTGCTTTCCTCATGAGTTCTCTCTAAATTTCTCTCTTCTTCTGAAAGCCTCACTTATGATATCTTTCTTCTGTCGCCAGAGATTCTAAGTATGCTCTGCACTTGCCTCTTTAAGAGGATCCTGTGCATCAGAAAATAGAATCCGACCACGATCCATGAAGGAGTGTTTGGTGACAATCTTTCCAGTTATCCTAGATTTGGTATTCAAAGCTGAGAGTCCTAACGTGGCCCGTTGATGAGTTGAGAATGAGTGGCCTTACCTGGACTGAAGCCTTGTATTCTCAACTAATTATTAAATTTTCTAACTACTAACTTTTGATTAACTTTTACTCGAGGGAGTACTTTTCTAATTTTTTTCGTTTTACCCAATTGTTGCGTTTTGCTCACGCTGTATTGGAATTTTTGGCGGTATGTCATGATGAATAAAATATTAATGTTGCTGAGTCTGTTTTGCTTATAAAAATTGAATTGATGACTCAGTTTAGCTTTCAATAATCCACCAATATCCATGTTTAATTAAGTTAAATCTTTCATCATGACGGACATTACTAGTTGAAGCATCGCCTTCACATGTTTTTTCTTAATGCCATTTCCATGCCTATCCAATATCTTATCTCTACCTATGTATATATAAAGGGGTAAAGTGCTTAAATGCTCAGAAATATCTATAAAGTATAAAGTAGCACTTTGATATCTAAAAGTTTTTTTATTTTTATATATTCTGAAAATTTTATTTTACAGTATTTTTTTTTCATAAAATGTTATCTGTCATTAAGTTTGATTGTTAAATATACAAGTCAAGCCTCATAATTTAACAATCAAACTAAACGGTAGATAATGACCAGGGTATTTTTGTTATGAAAATAAATTTTTAGGATATATAAGAACAAAAAAAAAATTTCAGGTATTGAATATTCTTTTGCAGATACTTTCAGGATATTTAAATATTATATATATATATATATATATATATATATATCCATTTCACTTTGTCCATCACCCCACTTTCTGTTTCTCTCTTTTTTCTACCCCGAGCTTATCCAACGTAACTTGACAACTTGTCCTTTTTTTCCCATCTTTCCACCTTGTCCATTCGTATATCATTTTTTATTTAACTGTAGAACTTGTCGGACATTAAATATTAAATGTTTCCTAATAAATATTCGAAGCTTAATTCATCAAGAAGGTGTCCCAATTTTGTTAGATCCAATCTCTTTTTTAGTTACTAAAGTCTAAAACAGATTAAAAATTTTTCCGTAAAAATATTAAATAATAACTTGAGGTTCATCATACAGGTCCTTTAGTCACTTGTGATTTTTTTTTCGTGATTATTATTCTTATTTTCTTTGACCCAATTGTTATGTTTTGCTCATGGTTTATTGAAACTTTTGGATTGGATAAATGTCAAGACGAGAAAAAGCAATAATGTTGCTGAATATGCTTTTGTTTAAAAGATTGATTACTCAGTTTATCTTTGAAAAATTCATCAATGTCCATTTACTGAAAAAAAAAAACATTTGGGCAATAACGGGGTTAACATTTTGATTTGAGAAAAAATTTAACACTTAATTTTTATCGTTTTGGCTCAATGAAAACTTACTTTATAATCCAGATAAAAAAAACTTACTCAATAAGATATCTGGTATTTAATAAATTGGTTCAGATTAGGAGACAACTACCAGTAATTTTTTTAGAGATTAGGCTATAAAATGTAAGAATAGATTTATTATATGGCTAAAATTAAACAAATTAAGTTATATCAAATTATATTTTTGAAACTGAATTGTAAGCTAATAAAAATTATAAAAAATAAATGATTATTTTTTTAGTGAAAGCGTATCTTTGATTATTTAATTCTTATACAATTTTACTATGATGCTTTAAATTTATTAAATATTTTTAAACTTACAAACCTTAACTCCATTAGTTTTATTGACAAAAATGACGCCATCAAAATTTTAAATATTAATAAAATATTCTTAAATATTAATATATCAAATATTAATATATTAAGTTTCATTTTTTAAAAATTATAATGTTTCACTTAAAAAACTATCATTTCAGAAGTACTTAAAAAACTGAAAAATTACTTTATAAAATCGAAAAATTAAACAAGATCCTTGAATAAAGTTACAACTTACCGTATGTTACATGTTTTCCTTGTTTCTTTTTCTTTTCTCGGTCATAATAAACTAACTTTACCATCCACGTGGATCAAAGAAAGAACTTACTTTTTGTTTGTCAATTTTCTTACAATTTAATTTAGTCACTAATTTTAAAAAATATTTTTTTAGTTTTTTCATTTTAAAATTATTAATAAAAAAAGAATATCAAGATTTTAAATGTTAATAAAATATTATCAAATACCAATATATTAAGTTTAATTTTTAAAAAAACTATAATTGTTATAAAAAATTATCATTTAAGTCTAACAATTTTAAGATTAAAGAACTAAAAGTATACTTTTTAAAGTTAAGGGATTAAAATAAAACTTCATATAAAGTCAAAGAACCAATTGTATACTTTAAACTTAATTCAATAAAAATGACTTATTCATTTTTATTAGATTCATTTGTTAGTTGTTAGATTACATTAAATTGTTTTCCATGGCACAATAAGTAAATAATTAATACTCATATGATCTTTATATAAGACCTAATTGATGAGTTCATGTTAGTCCTATATATAAGATCTATTTCACATGTCTATAAAGTTTTTTCAAATTAACCATATTGATATTTTCTTAATTAATAATCAAAAGTAGGAAGAGAATTAAGCAAGGTACTTAGAGTATTTAAAAAAAAATCATATTAATTAGTTTAACTATTAACTAATATTATTAATCTATTCAAATTTGCTAATTAGGTGATCTACGCTCCATCCATTTCAAAATATTATTAATTTCAAACTTCTGTTTTTGTTTTAAAAAAATGCCTCTTTATAATTTCTCTGATAGAAATTAATGATTTCTACGATCACTTTGTCCCTTGCTTTGAAATATGTAAAGAAAGGGATCATTTAAGTCAAATATAAAATTTAAAAGTCAAGAATATTTTAATAGAATATTATTAGGATAAAAATCTTTTTCTGGAACGAATAAACATATAAAAATAAAAGAATATTTTACAAAAACAATAGAGTGGAAATCCACCGAATGAAATAAGCATACGCATTATTTTCAAAAAGCAAAAAAAAAAAAAAAAAAACATATACCGTAGAGCTGTAGAAGTCTACCAAATGGGCCATCAGCGTACCTCCAAAATTTATTGCGTTCCCTCCTTCCTTAATCTTCGCGGACTGCCTTCTCAATTCTCACTTCTCAGTTTTTCACGTCCTTCGGAAATGTTCTCACTCAAATCCCTGACTTTTTTAATCAATCTTTAACGGCCTCTTCAAAATCCGCGTCCAATTCAACTTTCCTCCTTCCTGTTCCATCTCTTTACCTCCGCCCATCGCCCATGCCTACCCCTTCTTCTGATTCTCCCAAAACCGACCCACCCACCTCAGGGTCCCCGATCACTGGGCTCACTTCTACTTCCCCGGCTTGGAGTTTCCGTGGCACGCCTGAATTCAATTTCGATTTTGATGGATTCTTGACCACAGAATCGCCCTCTTTATTGAATGAGACTTGGTTCTCGGTGGATAGAAAAATGACTGCAAAGCCTGGTGCTCCTAGTATGGGTGGATTGGACGATCAAGGAACGGGTTTGAATTTGGGTTCCACTGGGTTGAAGGTCTTGGAAACCGACGAAAAGGTTGAGAAAGCGATCATTTTGAAGGAACCCAACTCGAAAATATGTGAGACTGCGTCATTTACAGTTCAAGACCGATCAAGAACGGATTCGTCGAGTTCTGGGTCGAAGGAAAAAGCAGTCTTGTTTGATAGTTCGGGACGTGAGGGAGATGATCGGCCCAAACGCTTCTTGAATTGGCAGTCAGAAAAGAATTTACTGAAGAGAGCGTTGGATTCTGTGAATCATGAAGACGATAAGACTGGGAAGGATGGGCCCAGCGAAGAGAATAGTAGTGCTAAACGCACTAGAAAAGAATGCGCATTGAATTTGGACTTGGAAAATGAAACACAAAATACTACTATTCACACAGTAAAAAAAGAGTTTATGAATTCGGCTGATTGTTTACCATTGGATTCTGATGGAGTTGATGAAAGTGGTATGGGAGAGTTGCGTGGTGACAACGAAAAGGGCATTGTTACTGCAAGTATGAATGAAGCACCCAATTGGGATGATAAGGGTGATGGTGTTCAAAGGAGATTCAGCAGAGAAGAGAAAGGGAAGAGAGTATTGGACAATGGCGATTTATTCCGCAACGTTTTTCATGAATGTCATTTTGGATTAGAATCGGAATCCATCAATTTGATTGATATCGAAAATTTAGATGCGTCACATTTAGCTTGTAATGTAGCTTTACAATATGAAAAACAATGGAGAAATGCTGACAGGGCTTCACGGAGGAGGGAACTCATGGAAAATTTCCGGGATATAGCAAAGGCATATGCTGCTCACTTTGCTCGTTTTACACCAGCTGAAAAAGATGTTCATGCTTCTACCAAGGCTAATATTGAAAATGAAATTGAAGAATGGTCTGGTCCTTTCTCCACAGCCACGAAAACAATTAGAAATCGAGGAATGAAAAGTAGGCAAATGAGCTGCAACTCTTCAGAAAATTTACCTGCATCCATTAATTGGGCTCCTAGGAGTAATCAAGAGCAAATACGTGCTAGAGTCTCGGCTCCCTCGCTGCAAGAACTATGCCTTGATTTACTTGCCAAGAATGCTGATGCAATTGTTTCTCTTGAAAATGTCCCAGATGCTCTGAAGCACCAACTTTGTCAGTTGGTCTGTGATTCTCGAAAAATGAACAGTCGCTTTTTGGAACTTCTTCTTACTGGATCCCCCACAGAGATTCGACTAAGTGATTGCTCATGGATGACTGAGGAACAGTTTATAAAAGCTTTTCAATCATGTGACACTGCTAATCTGGTGGTATGTTCTCTAAATTGATACTCAAACTTTTCAGTATTTTGGATATTGTGTCATTTACTCAGGTTTCAGTATGTTCTTTAAGTATGATCTTTAACTTGCATCGCAGAATAACTAGGGGGTTTCTATAAACATGAAAATAATGTTTGTTCTGTATTGAGAGATGTTGGAGGTATTTGGCTGTCACAACACCCCCCCAAAAAAAAAAAAAAAAACTCACGCAAAAGCCGTGCATACATAGGATTGTTTTATGTGTTATGATGGGTGCTGAAAAGGCTTACTTGAGCTTTGTTACCAATTTCGTTTTGGCTTGGCATAGGCAGTGGATGTGATTTAATTTAACTCTTGTTGTCCTTCAGCAACTGTATTTCTGATAATCCGTTAAGTGGCTAACATACTGAAATACTCATATGGTGGGCCTCAGCTTTTAAGAATAAAAAGATAATCTTAACTTTGATTGCCCTTCAAATAATTTGGTTTCTGGTCAATATTGGATGACTCCCTTTCAATTAGTGCCCATGTTCACTATACTTGACTTAACTCGATTGATATTGTTATAAGTATCACCTTTTCACTTGATTTGAATTGTAAGCGATCTTTGAAATAGTTTATTCATTTCACCTGTGGAATAGGTGTTGCAACTTGATCAGTGTGGCCGCTGCACCCCACATCACGTGGTACTTGCTACTTTAGCACGATCACCAAACCAGTTACCTAGACTAACTAGTCTGTCCCTCAGCGGTGCATGCCGTCTTTCAGACAAGGGGTTGCATAGTCTAGTTTCTTCCACTCCGGCTCTTAGATCGATAAATCTTAGCCAATGCTCCCTTCTCACATTTCACAGTGTATTTGTTTTGGCTAATTCATTAAGATCACTTCTTAAAGAGTTGTATCTTGATGATTGCCCCAACATTAATGCTGCACTAATTGGGCCAGAACTGCAGAGCTTTGAACATTTAGAAGTCTTGTCAGTGGCAGGCATCCAAACTGTTTCTGATGATTTTATCAAGAATTTTGTGACTGAACGCGGTCATAATTTGAAGGAACTTGTCTTGAAGGATTGTGAGTGAGTACCGTTTGTGCCAGTCTATTTAATTCAATGTGTTAAATCTGAATGTCTGCTTAAGTTGTGATTATTGTCAGAAGCTGTTTGTTTCTTAGATGTTTGATTTCTATTTGTTGATGCGTAGAAAATTGACCGATTCATCAGTTAAAATTATTGCTCAATTCTGTCCTGGATTATGCTCACTTGATCTCATGAACTTGTGCAAATTAACGGATTCATCCATTGGATATCTTGCAAATGGGTGCCGAGCGCTTCATACACTGAGACTCCGCCGCAATCAATTCAGGTTTAGCCCCTCCTCTCTTTTCTCTCTTGTGTTTCATCATCATCATATCATCATTTTGCATTTGGTGGGCTTCATATGTTAACCTGACGTTTAAATTTTGATCATGCACTTCTTATTTATGCTTTGCCATTCTTGTCTGTCACTGTTACCAATTTGCTCATTTACAGAGTTGACTCAGATGAGTTTCTAGCTTGTTAAAGTTTTAGGACAGCTTTCTTTGCTTCCATCTATATGTACTGTTAGAAATCTCTGAATTGCCATTTAGCTTTTCATATGTACTAAGGAAATTGAAAACATCTTGTATTCATCTTTTGTTTTGGGGAAAAAAGACCAAAAATATATACTACTATACTATTTCCAGTTCTTAATATAAGATCCAATTGACTAATTTGAAAAAATTAATAAAGGTAAATATATTAGCTTAAAGTATTTATAATAATTATTTCTGTCCAAACTAATTTATCTGACTTAGAGATTGATATATAATTTAATGATGCATATAAATATTTTAGAGAGATTGTGTAAATATATGCTATAAGCAAGTAATTTACTTAGTTTCCTTAATCTCATCAAATTAGTCAACTGTGTCTTATATTAAAAATGAGAGGTAGTATTTTATTAGCATGCAATGTCTATGTCTCCAAAGAGTTGAACAAATTGAACATCTTTTGTATCTCAGTGATGAAGCCATTGCGGCTTTTCTGGAGACCACGGGAGCGTGCTTGAAAGAACTTTCACTCAATAACGTGGAAAAGGTACGTTTTTTCCCTCCTGTCTCCAAGCTTCCTTTGGCTGGGCATGCACATGGAACCTCCTCTGCTGATAAGGCTGCTTTTGGTAATTGGTTTGGTAATTGGTAAACGCATTGGTTCATCAATCCATGTTTTCTAATCATCAATATAATCAAAATCAATATAAAATTTACGGAAATCACATTGCTCATGAGTCATAAGCAGTGGTGCCACTTTTCTTGGGTTATCGTGTGATTTTTCTTTTTATATATATATTTTTAGTATTTGTCAAAGCCTTTCACTGGGCTCCCTTCCTCGTACTGTTGTTACGTTGATCAATGTGAACCAAGGTTTGATTATATGGTTTACGCGTGACAGGTTGGCCATGACACAGCCTTGTCCCTTGGCAGCCGTGCAAGAAATTTGCATACTCTGGACCTATCATGGTGCAGAAATTTCACAGATGCTCATTTGGGCTTCATCGTCGATAACTGCTTGTCGCTGAGACTGCTTAAAGTATTTGGATGTACCCAGGTCCTTCTTCATATTCAGCATATTGAGTGATATTGATCACATACACAAAAGAAGAAACGACATATAAAAAGAGCAAGTAGAAAGCGGAGGTAAGCACTAGGGTTCTGATTACTATTGGGGTTGCAATATATGTTTTTGTTCTTCTCTGGAGATTCATCCCGAGCGTGACACTCGTTGCTTTCTTGAACCTGTGAAAGCATACACTTTTTGTTTGGTCTTTCTGAAACTTGATTCAGGAAGAATACAGACTGACAAACCATTTTCCTTTACAATGGAGAAAAAAGAAATGAAAACCTAAATTACAATACAGACTATAGCGCTATACCTCCCAACAAGTGCGGAGAGAGAGAGGAGGTACAGCCGTTTGAACTTTACAGTTGTTCAGAAACAAAATAATGCAGAGTATTTATGTCTGTAGACGAAGCAAGAATAGTTGTTCCTTCGATAATTGAGAATTTGCCATAACAACCATCTGAAAAGGCGAAGGAAGCTGCATTACTGCTTTTTGTAGGGAAGGAATACTCTTAAAGAGATCAGTGCAAGAAGTAGAAATGATTGTGTTGAGCTTACCTCAAAGCCTATCTTTTGGTACAAATTCTGTGCAGTTGTGTTATTTCTGTCCACGTGAACGAATACTTGTTCCACACCTGCTCAATAAATCATGGAATATACGGTAAGTTTCTTTCATGATTCACAGACATATCATCAGTCAGTTGTATACTATAGGAGTCAAATTACTCTCCAACTTTAAAACTACCATTAGTTTTTGCTGATGCAACAGCATAGTACAACATGTTGCTTGCAATGCCCTGACGACGAGCTGATTTCGCAACACATACGTTTGCAATGTAGCCATATCTGCTCGGTGCTGTTCTGTCGATGCTGCAAAATCGAGGAGCCTTAACCCGTTCCTGCACAAATGAATACATCGAAGTTATGGAACTTGGTACATTGTCATGTCATTTCCCCTTCCATGGTGCCGGGATGAATGCAAGGGTATAAGATTTGGTGCATGCTTGGTTATCCGTTGGAGTAAATGACATTAAGAAAACTCAGTTTAAAACATCCGGTTTTGCAAGAGCGACCTTCTATTTGCCTCGGCAAAACGACTAAGGTGTCAAAATTAAGACAATGACATACCAAATGCCTCAGAGCATCAAAATCCGTCTAGACAGGTCAGAAGACGTAGTTGTATCTCAATAAGAAGGAAGTACTATACCCCGGGAAAAGTCTCTCCCCGCAGCAAATATCGGATATTCAAATCAAGCGTTCCTACGACGCTCTTCAATATCGGGCGTTTTACATTCTTATGCTCCTTCTTCACCTGATAAACTTGACTCCAAACAACGTAAGGTTAAACGCACACATTCAGGGCTAATCATTACTTTGCATAAAATCAGCGCAATATTAGTAAATTGCAGCCTTTCATTTTCACTGATTCAGAAGATATGATAATTTTTACCGCAATAATGCATGTGCATTTCTGCTCATTTTGCATTTGGCACCGCTTCTTTAGTGCATTAAATTCCTAGGTAATAGGAAGCCCGTCTTTAGAAATTCATGAAAGAAATCTCATTGTACATAGTTTAACAATGAACAAATTTATAGCACAAACCCCTACCTGGTCTGCAAATCTCATTTTGTAATTATGAATGTGTCTGAAAAAAGCATAGCAAGATTCAGTGCATCCAACTTTTCACTATAATTCAAAGCAAAGCTTGAATTTATTTAATATCCATCTTGATTTTAGTTGATTGTGAGCTTTTAGAAAAGTAACACAAGTGATCTCTAAACTCGTCATTGTTCTTTTCACGACGCAAAGGTGCTACCAATCCTATCCTATTAATAAATGAAAGTTGAAAGTGAAAACTGAGGACGCTTATGAAAGGATCATTCTAGTATACCGGATGTCATGGCGCGCAAGCGTTGGATTCTCACAGTGACTTTCTGCCCTTAACCAGGCTGCTGTCTGCCGTCGCATTAAAAAAATCGCAAAAATAAATCAACATGTACAAAAGCAAGCGAAAACTCCATCAAGCTCCATAATATAGTTTCAGGCTTTCAGTTTCAATTCATGACATACCCAATACTCTTCATCAAGCACGGCATCTCGAGCAACAAATTGGCCAAACTCAAGAATCTTCTCTCCAACCAATTCATGATCCGAGGGTTGCAATCGATCGAAACGGAGATCGCCAGACCTTAGAGTTTCCACCTTATGAGCGGTGGCGTTGAAATTGAAAGCTGCATTGACAGGTCTTCCATGGTATTCTTCATTCCGCTACTGAAGTTTTTAGGATCTCTCATTGTCCTGTGGACGTTAGAGAGATAACAGAAACCACCTCTGATTAGCTTCGAGCAACAAGATCATCTCAGAATAAAATAACATAAAATTCAAGCAAACAGAAAATTGAAACTCACATAGTCCACGAAGCAGCGATTCTCGGGAACTGTGGCGAATCGGATGCCCATTGACGAAACCTTCAGAATTCAATCTTTGAATCGAGATTGTGGACATAGGAGGCATGCTTCCAGATTCAAGGGTGGTTAAAGATAAAGAGGACAGAAAGGGTTCAGGGAGACCTGGTAGCTCGTATCAGACTCCTAGAGTGATTTGGTGGTGTTTGGAAATGGAAGATTCCTCCAAAAGTTGCTCATTTCCTATGGAGGGTACTTAATGGAGCCTTGGCAACCCGAGAGGCATTGTTTAGAAGGAAATGTGCAAATACACCAGTCTGTGATATCTGTAGATGCCAAGCTGAATCAATTGAACACATGTTATTTCTGTGTCCTTGGGCCATGCAGGTCTGGTTTGGGTCCCCTTTATCATTAAGATTCGATGAGAGAGGTATGAAGAGGGTTGACTTATGGTTGGACGAGTGGTTAAAAATTAAGGAGGGGCCTGATGATTATAGTTGTGCCCTTTTTGCTATAATCTGCTGGGATATCTGGAAGTCAAGGTGCCAATTCGTTTTTGAAGGTAAGGAGGTGGATGCTATTGGATGTGTGGGAAGAGCTATGAGAATGGTACGTGATTTCTGGGATGCAGATAATGGTAAGAAGAGGAGATGTGTTTCTGAGACAGGGGTGGAAAGGAGTAAGAATTGGGTTATGCCTGCTAGAGGGGCAATTAAAATTAATGTCGATGCTGCCTTCGGTAAGGAAAGAGGTAAGGCTGCTGTGGGATTAATAGCAAGGGATGATAAGGGAGGATTTATTGGGGGCCTGGGAAAAAAAATTGGGTTCTATATTAAGGACCGGAGGAGTATATTTTTTGTCTACCAGAATAAGCACAGATATTAAAATATTATGAAGAAGCGCGCAATAGAGTGATGATGAGTATAAAATTTGTTAATTTTAGAATTGTGGTTAAGGTTAATTATCTCAACCATTTAGTATGTGTTTATTTTATGGGTTGGAAAATGAAAATGTGCGTGTTTTGGCGTAACGGATTTGGGATTTCCAATGAATCTTGATTTTACTAAAAATATTTTAAGATCAGTTTCATTAGTCTTTTTTAGAATAGTTTAAAACCAGCCAATTAGTTAATGAGTTAACCTCTAGAAATTCAAATTATTGAGTGATTCATAATAAATTTTCTCTCAGAGAGGATATTTTCAACCAGGACATTACATCTCTAATCAAAAGCCACGACATGCTCGTGAACGTAGGACATAAGCTCTTAATTAACAAATAAGCTGTTTCCTCCAATGCATAGCTCCTGCCACAAGAGCAGATGTTACCTTGTATTTCCTCACCCAATCAGCCGCAAGAATCTCTTATCGTGAAACTGATTCGTAGCCTCACCTGAATTTTCCAGGACAATAAGAATCCATGGGTCCTTCTAGAATCTCACATTTAACCCACTGGCCGAATGCTCAAAATAGACTCCAATTTTAACTAGGCCTAGCACAGTTAGCACTTAACTGAATTTTTTAAATATTTAATTAGGGATTTGATTCCTCACGATATTTATAGAAAAAGTTTTGTGACCAGTACTAAAATCTAAAATCCCTTTGAAAAATTTATGGTAAGAGAGATTTAAGGCCTGTTTGGGTATCCCAAAACCGTGATTTCAGAAGCACTTTTCCGCAAAATGGGATAATCTCCTCTACATATTTACTTCGTAATCCGTAAAAACATTTCTGAAACCATGGTTTGGTTTCTATCCAAACACACCCTTAGTCCTTATTATTCACAATGAATGTCCTAAGCCCAAAAAGAAAAAAGACTGTTCCGTTCAGTACATTCTTACCTTCAATAATGCTAGCCTAAACCCATGATGTATTTCTCTTCTTTTTTCTTTTTCCTTTTTTCTCCTTTTGAGCCTCCATAAATTCACATTTTAAAAAATATCATTCTTTTTTTCTAATTATTACTCTTTTCTGTTAGTATGAAGACTTCCTACAATGTTTCATGCTAATATAAAATATTTTATTTTGGTTATTAATTCTTTCACCTAATATTCTCAACTAATTATTAAATTTCCTAACTACTGACTCTTGATTAACTTTTACTCGAGGGAGTACTTTTCTAATTTTTTTCGTTTTACCCAGTTGTTACGTTTTGCTCACGCTGTATTGGAATTTTTGGCGGTATGTCATGATGAATAAAATATTAATGTTGCTGAGTCTGTTTTGCTTATAAAAATTGAATTGATGACTCAGTTTAGCTTTCAATAATCCACCAATATCCATGTTTAATTAAGTTAAATCTTTCATCATGACGGACATTACTAGTTGAAGCATCGCCTTCACATGTTTTTTCTTAATGCCATTTCCATGCCTATCCAATATCTTATCTCTACCTATGTATATATAAAGGGGTAAAGTGCTTAAATGCTCAGAAATATCTATAAAGTATAAAGTAGCACTTTGATATCTAAAAGTTTTTTTATTTTTATATATTCTGAAAATTTTATTTTACAGTATTTTTTTTTTCATAAAATGTTATCTGTCGTTAAGTTTGATTGTTGAACATACAAGTCAAGCCTCATAATTTAACAATCAAACTAAACGGTAGATAATGAC